AGCTATTTGTTATTAATAATTTTTTTTCAATGTGGTGTGCTCAGATACTCTGATTCTGGAATGGAAAAAGAAATTCTTTTAAACACTGTATACACTAGACTCAAGTCTCTATATGTAACTGTTCATTGCGTTTTTTTTGTAAAGTGTCTGAAAAAAAAAGAAGATAATTCAAGCGATTGTTATTAGTGTTATTGATTGATATTGTTTATATCCGACTTTTTATTGTATGATAATGGTCAAAATGATCAACTTTTGATGTGTTCTGTTACGTTATTGTTTCTCTTCGCTATTTACCACTGTTTCATTTAATTTTTCTTTGATATTGTAAAGACGCTCAGGAGCGCGTCTGATCTGAGTGGGTGGGTGTGCCGATATTGATGGAACGCTTCGATGATTCTCCTTCCTCCTCCTTCTGTTCTCTTTCCATTGTTCTAATATATCTCTCTTCTGTCTCTCTTCTATCTCTCTCCTATATATACGTGTGTTATGTATGAAATTGTTACACTCTGGATATGTGAAGAAGCAAATAAACATCATTGCCGAGAGTGGCGGTAAGCTACTCCACCTCTATTCAGTTTGTCTTTACGTATCAACCCAGTCTGGGCCACTATTGATCGTTACAACAATGATATCAAATTCCTGGAGCCAAGTCTTTCGTGTGGAAAAATAGGCACTTGGTGTTCATCATTGACATAAGAAAAAGGATCAAAATGGTGTCAGTCTCAATGAATTTCTATTGGTAATCGACAGTTTCAACGTGCTCAGTGAGCACCTATTCAAGCACGAAACTATTAAAAAATGAATGGTAGGTAAACTATTGTCATGTGTCATTTCGATAGAAAATATGATTTAGCGTAAATCTATATTTTCCAGATATAGACGACTTCAAAAGGCTCCGAACTCACTGATATTCTGTCACGCACAAGGTTCGTTCAGGAGATTGTCACTAATAGGGTGCTATTGAACAATTGCATACAATACAGATTTTGACCGTAGGAGTTAACACTAAAAATTGTGATCCTTGTTATAGGGTGAGGAAACACAACCACTATCCTTTCAATTGATCATCAGTGGTTTTTTCACTTTTCCAATTTCTGTGTGCATCGTGTCAATCGGTTCTGACCGGTTCCAGTTTCAACTCCAGCCGATTCTGATCGGTTCCGACTTCGGTTTCAACCAGTCCCAACCGATTCTGATCTATTCCAATCGGTTCCGGCTTCGGTTCCAATCGGTTCTTATCGATTCCAACCGATTCTGATCGGTTCCGGCTTCGGTTCTAACCGATTCTGATCGACTCCAATCGGTTCCAACCGATCAGAATCGGTTTCGGCTTCGTTCCCAATCGTTTCCAATCGGTTCTAATCGATTCTGATCGGTTCCAATCGGTTCCAATCGATTTTGATCGGTTCCGGCTCGGTTCCAACCGATTCTGATCGGTTCCAATCGGTTCTTATCGGTTCCGACTTCGATTCTTATCGATTCCGGCTTCGGTTCCAATCGGTTCTTATCGGTTGCGGCTTCGGTTCTTATCGGTTCCAACTGATTCTGATCGGTTCCGGCTTCAGTTATTATGGGTTCGGGCTTCGGTTCTTATCGGTTTCAACCGATTCTGATCGGTTCCGATCGGTTCTTATCGGTTCCGGTTTTGGTTCTAATCGGTTCTTATCGGTTCAGGTTTCGGTTCCAATCGGTTCCATCGGTTTCGGTTCTAAAACCGGAACCGGTGCATCCCTGGACTGGACTCTCCTTTCAAAAGTTATCATGTGAACGGACGGACGGACGGACACACTGACCGATTCTAGAGTGTACTCACTTTTTGAGTACACAAAAAATTCTTTCATATTTTTTTTATTAATTACATGATGAATATGCTAACTAAGTAAAAATATTCAAGATGAGATTTTGTTCGAACAATTTTATAAATTAATTATTAAAAAACTAAATAAAGATTCCTAAACGATTGAAATGCGTTTATCGATAATCTGAATAAAATCAATATTTTTATGTTTGATGACAATAAATTGAGATATTATATTATTTCTCTCAATAGAGTAATGCCATCTATTTATATTTTATCTATTAATAATAATAAAAAAAAGAAAAGAGAAATAGTTAATGGTGGTAAATAAACCAATTCGGTCTCTTTTTTTAAATTTATTTGTCTTTCTTAAATAGAGAAACAAAAAAAAAGATTGTTGATGATTACAATAGATGTATATATATATATATAAATGTAATGAAAAATTTCTTTTTGAATAAAAAAATAAAAAAACAAGAATGGCATCATGTCCAATAGAATTAGAACGAAATGGTCCAACAGTTGGAATGTCATTTACAGGTGAACAAGCTGAAAAACTTTTTCAACGTTATTTAAATAAAAAAGTGAATTGGTTTGAATCTGGCGAATGTGGTTTAAATAATCTTCTTTTCTTTGTTGAATGTGAAAATGATCAAGATAAATATGTTTTGAAAATTTGTGGACGATCATGGAAAAAAATCAAAACAGAATCTGAAGTTGCTGCTATGAATATTGTTCATAAATATACACAAATTCCTCTTCCAAAACTTGTTGCTTATTCATCAGATAATAATAATGAATTTGGAGTTGAATGGATTATTATGACACGTTGTTTTGGAAAATCATTAAGAAGTTCATCAAAAACAAATGATATTTGGCCAAATTTATCTATTGATCAACAAAAATCAATAATTAATCAACTTGTTGAATATATATCTCAATTTCATAATAGTATTCCACGTTCAAATAATATTGGAAATTATAAAATAAATGGTGAAATAGGTCCTGATAATAATAATATGGGTCCATGGAATAATTATCAAGATTTTTTTAATGATCGTTTAAAACTTCAAATATCAACGTTAAATCATGAAAAAGTATTTGAACCAATTCGTGATGATCTTATGAAATCAATAAAAGAATTTGAAAATTTAAATATTCCATCATTTGATTATATTCCAAATGTTTTTACACATAATGATCTTGGTGTGCAAAATATAATTATATCTGATGATAATAAAATAACAGGTATTATTGATTGGGAATGGTCTGGTTCATATCCTATTTGTGAAGAATATTTTCATTCATATAAACCAATTATTTATAATAATCAATTAAAAAATTATCTTTATGATCAACTTGAACAACATAATGTTCCAACTCCAAGAACAATTCAAAATTTTTCAATTTTACAAAAAATGTCAGATTTTATTCAATCCATTTCTCCTTGGTATCTTACTGATTTAGTTGATCCAGAACATCCAACTGTTGAAAAAGAATTATTTAAATATAGAGATAAAGTCAAAATACTTGTTCAACAAATTAGAGAAGAATTAAAATAAATTTTTTCTCTTTTCTATTTTGTAAATTTATGAATAATTTAACGAAAGAATGTCTCTTTTATTTAACAGATTAATTAAACAAGAAAAATTAACTTTGCTTTCGTTATATTTATTTATCCTATTAACATTTATCTTATTTCATGAATAAATAATAGAGAAAAAGGTCAATAGGTACAAACTTATTATACAAGAATAAAAACGAGAGATTATACAGTACTCTCTCTCGTACTATGTTTGTTTTTTTCGTTCTTCTCTACAATATTTTTAAGCAATTCTACGGTATAAAACAAATTTTTATATATTCTCAATTTCGTTTTAAAAGAAAAATGAACAAGTCTGAAATAAAATGATAATTATTAAATAATAGAAAAATCTTCTTATTTGATTGCAGATGTGAAATTAATTGCATATTAATTATCGTTTTTATTATCATTTGTTTAATGGAAACTTAACTTCACCATAGAGACCGCAATTCAGCGGTTTCTGTGCCGGTCGCAAGTCTGGATAAAGGAGGAGTGTTTGACGGAAGGGGTGCAGGCATCGCCGTCTGTAAAAGAAGAAGACTACAGAAACCAATCATGAACGACTTCAACACGAAACCATACCGGCTCGGACGGCGCCCGGGAAAACAAGGTCCGCGTCCTCTGCCGAGTGACCAGGGCAGAGTCGAAAAATTGGCTACTGGAAAAAACTTATACATGAATGATACGACACAAAACACGCAAAAACTAAAGCTTGCCAAAAACACTGTGACAGTAGGAACATGGAATGTGCAGACATTATGGGCTGCTGGAAAACTGAAACTCCTTAGAAACGAAATGAAACGTGTCAGATACGACATAATTGGTATTTCTGAAGTACGATGGACAGGAAAAGGTGAAACACCTCAGGAAGATTTCATTTGGTCGGGAAAAGAAACCTCGTACACGTATACGCACCAACCTCTTCTTTTTCAGAGGAAGATATTGAAGCATTCTATGACCATATTGAGGATGCATTAGCAAAGACAAATAAAAAAGACATAATCATCCTGACAGGATATTGAAACGCTAAAATTGGTAATGATAACACAGACTGGAAGTCCGCTACGGGAAAATACTGTTGTAGGGATAGAAACGAACGCGGAGAACGCCTCCTGAAATTTGCAACACTACACAACTTCTTCGTATGTAATATAAGATTTCAACAGAAATCAAATCGAAAATGGACTTGGGCATCACCAAACGGCATTCACAAGAACATGATTGACTTGATTCTCATCCAGCAAAGATGAAAGACCTCGGTCATCAACTGTCGAACATTTCAGAGCGCAGATATAAGTTCAAATCATTCACTAGTAGACTTCTGCGTGACCACGATTTTTCAGTCACGTCACGGTCACGAGGATTTTGGATTACTACCTTGATTTTTGTGCTACAAAATAAAGATTTGAATTGATTTTGTAGATTTCTTCTGTAATAAAACAAAGAAAACTCGTAAATCAATTAAAATCTTTTTTTTAGAAAAATCAGATTTTTAATATTAAAATTTATCACCAATAAGTCACGATCACGAGCTATTCGGTCACGATCATGAGCTATTTGGTCACGGTCACGAGACACTTGGTCACGGTCACGAT